TGGTGAAAACCTCAGTGTCGTATTTTATGATGATTTCGTCCATGCAGCAGTAATATTCTGATCGATGATGATGCATGAAAGAAAAAATATTCAATTAAATAGTACTCAATAAAAAGTTCAATTTCTACACACAAAAAAACGTGTACTGGCTATCATTCCTAGTTGCAGGCTGTTAATTTCGAAAAATCTAAAAATTTTCTGAGCTTTAATTTTATTTCAACAGGAACAGCCATTTAATGAATCTTATGATCTGATCTAATTTTGTTATTCAGCCTCATTCGGAATAAATAACGCCTTACGAATTGACACCAGGTATCAGTCTCTTCTTACTCGTAGTCATAAAGATAATTAATAGAAAATTGTGACACTGATTTGTATATTTGGAGAATGTATAAAGAAACGAAAACTAATTATTTTCCATCACCGTGTAATAATGAAATTGTATTTAATACAGATTCTTCTTAATAACTCTATAAAGTCAGTATTCTTGAATTACTATTTTAAAGCGAAGCGAATGATGCTTGATGACTTTCTGGGATTCTACGGTCACAAACAAACGCTGCAACAATAATCGTACCATAAATGACAATTTACAAAACAACGGAGAAAGAAGTGCGAGAAAGAAGATTTTACTTTTTTCCTGAAACGATATTATTGTCCTTATATTCCGTAGACTGAGGCTCACCACTTGCAAAGACAATTGACTATGCAACAGTAATTGGTTAACCATCGCCATTATTATACTATAGCCAGCTAGATTAAAATAAAAAGTGTCGTACAAAATCTTTGACTAATGTTATTACAGAAAATACTACTACAGTAATGACATTTCTACCGACGTTAATGATGATGATGGTTTGCTTTCCTTCTAAAATCGTCGACGTTCTCTTAGCATTGAACACATCTCGATCCCATGATACCGGTGGCATACTCTTCTGATAGATACAGATAGATACAAACTGAAATACTTGTCTCTGATGGCAATATAGCAAAGAATCGTGTAACTCTTAGCCGCTGTTATAATTATAGGCACTATTCCTTGTTATATGCATCTCTGATAGTTAAAAATATTCTAATGCTAATCGTGAAAAAGAATTTTGGAGTACTTCGAATTTCATTTACATCGCAATGAAGAACAGCTAGAATCAATCAAACTCCAGACCAATGTGAAAGTGTTTGTACAAGTTACGATATGTTTGTTGAAGACATATATTTAATACAAAAGTTGTCTTAAGTTTATTACGAGTGTAAAAGATAAAGAAACTTATACGTAGATGTGTAGTGAATCGCTGTTTAAATATTTTTGTGATCTCTACGAAATATATATGATTTTGTAATTTGTGCACATATGTTTTTGGATTTCTTTTAAATTTACCAATATAATTATTATTATCGTTCTTCATTGTAGTGTTAATGAAAGAATATTTCACATGCAAGAATGTTTCATATAAATAATATGCATGTAAATAATATTATACCTATAAAAAGTTTTTACGTGGTCGAATACATTCTTCGTGATTGTACCTAAGAGAAATTAAAAAGCAAGTCAATCAAAACAAGAAAATCAATTAAAAAGGGAATCAATTTGATCTCGTAAGGTGGACATTTTCGCCAAACGTGTGTGATTATTTGAATGTATTTAAATTTGGATAAAAAGCGAGTGGTCAATTTTTATAGAAAAATATCTTCCACAATTTTTCACTGTGACTTTCAACTAATTTCATCCCGTCCATCCATTAATTTTCTATCTCTGTTCCTAAATGTTTGCTTACGATCTTATAAACGTAAGTACATTACACATGAACTACTGTAATTGTTTTTTATCGATATTTGGTACCATCTGTTTAGGCGCTAATTTGTATCACTCGAGTGAATCATATTATTATTAAAATGTCTAGCAAAAAGTTCTGGAAACCTTGTCTTTTATTTGAAGAAAAAAAGGAACACTAAACTACAGTTACTGCAGTTGCTAAATACGTGGAGAGCTGTTCATCTTAGTTATGTGTTCAATTATTACGTACATGTCTAATTTAAATTATTTGGTGCTGGAAGTTTTGAACAGTGTTCACAATGTTTCCTCGTCAATGTAAACATTTACATATAAGTAAATTCATATAAGTGTATTCTTTGCAATGATATGACGATATTGAGCTAAGTATATAGAAAATACATCACAAAGAACCAATGAATTCGAATGTTGTTCTAGAAATTTACGAATTTTCATCTGGGAACATTTTGATTTATCTGTCATTCCAAAAGTGTCTTTCTTTCCTAAAAGAAATCTAGGTAAAGTAACTGACAGCAAGTAATTTTGTAAATTAAAGTCGTTCACGGAATAAATGTCTAGAAGTCTATGTGATGAGTTATTAATTAATTTATCTAGTGTCTCGTACACATCTTCTAAAATGGATATAAAACATGTTAATATCGGCTATAGTATTCTGAATAGTTTTAAATTAAATCTTACGTGTGCGTTTTCCTTAAATTTGTCTTTCTTTCAGCGTAAATAACGAAATTTTTGATTGTCCAAAATTTCAATTATTGCAATATGTGCGTAACACAAGGAACACTCGCTTAATACGTAACAAAATATCTCACTGGCACTATCACTCTTTCGTATTCCCTTCACATCAACATTCGTCCAAGTCACGAACCATTCTTAACTATAAATTCTTTCCATCTCAAGCGAACAAAACAGACTAACTTCGATCGGGAAATATTTTTCTCGCAAACCCTACACAGACAAAACTAATAAATGTGAGAAAAAGGAAATTGTCTCGAGACAAGACTATTCAGTATTCCTAAACTGTAATTTTCTTAATAGCCCTATTTCTATAGTCAAAGGCTGCAGAAG